TTTAAGTTGTCCAAGTTGTAACAGTCACTAAACTCCACATGGAAGCAAACACAAACTTTCTCTGAAGTATGCACCCTTAAACCAAACTTCAAAGAGTCCCCTCACATAAAGTTGCACTATTTGTAATTCATAATTTTTAAAAAGTATAAAATAAAATAAAATTTGAGTCCCAGATCTGGTGACTTAAAACTCCCACCAGGTGTGTGTGTATGCGTGTCCAGAATCCTGGGAAGAGAGTGGAGAAGGGATTGAGGTGTGGTCATCCCCTCAGGGGATGATTTCTCGCTTTCTGTCTCTGTTTCTCTGGTGAGAGCATGCGCCCTATAGCAAAAATCTCTCTAAAAAATGAATATCAACTTCATATTTTAAAATATTTTTGGGGACCAGCAGTTAGTGTAATGGCTATGTCACTGGACTTCCACGTAGTCGACAGCAGTTCGCGTCCCGGACCCAGTGGCTTAAAACTCACACCGTGCGTGTGTGCCCAAGATCCCGAGAGGAGAATGGAGGAGAAGGGATTGCGGCGTGACCATTCCCCCTGGGGGGTGATTTCTCGTTTTCTGTCTCTTTGTCCCTCTCTGTCTGCCTGGCGAGCGCATGCGCCCTATAGCGAAAACCTCTCCAAAAAAATAAATAAATAAATAAATCAAAAGACTGAGTAACCAACAAAAGGCTATAAAACATGACCATCCAGGTCTGGCCTTCTAGTCCACAGAATTCTGATGATAATAATTAATCTGGTTAATCAGAGACAAAAGGCCACATGAAGAAGCATATTGGAGAATGTCCAATCTGTAACTGAAATCTTAGGCTTACAATGTAGGATTTAAAAATGTAGATGGTACAGCTACTCCCAATAGATCCTATCCACTGTCTTAGCAAAAATGAAACTGAAATGGAAGATCCTTAAAAAACCGAGTTTGAATTTGTTTAAAGTCAATATACGAGAGGACTAATCAAAACTGTCCTGGGGACCAAGGGTTTGTGTAATGTCTATGTCCCTGGACTCCCATGTGGTTGACTGCAGTTTGAGTCCTGGACCCAGTGGCTTAAGCTCACACCAGGTGTGTGTGTGTGCGTGCCCAAGACCCCAAGAGGAGAATGGAGGAGAAGGGATCGCGGCGTGGCCATCCCCCCAAGGGGGTGATTTTTCACTTTCTGTCTCTCTGTCTTTCTGAGGAGCACATGTGCCCTATAGCAAAAACCTCTCCAAAATAAATAAATAAATAAATAAACTATCCTGAAAAAAATCTCAACCATAATATAAAACCAATTTCTACTTTTCAGAGAGGCTCATGAAAGAGAAAGACTTCTTTCCACTCTAGTGAAGAAGGCACTTTCTCATTCTATAAAATTAATTTCCAGAGCTTTAGAATTTAACGCTAATGCTGATATTTAAAAAGTCCTATTATAAAGTATTGTAGATTATACATTTGAAGATTTAATAAGCTAATTATAAAACAAATCAATGTTTAAAATAAACAATAATTAGGAATGGACTATGTAACAATGATGGTAGGTGAAAACGAACGACCTTAAAATATCTTAAAGTCATTTTTTTTTAGAGAGAGATTTTTGCTATAGGGTGCATGTGCTCTCCAGACAGACAGAAAGCAAGAAATTACCCCCTAGGGGGGATGGTCACCCCACTGCAATTCCTTCCTCCATTCTTCTCTTGGGACTTTAGGCACACATGCAAACGTATCTAGTGTGAGGGACTTGAACTGCAGTTGGCTACGTGGGAGTCCAGCAACATAACCATTTTGCCATCTCTTGGTCCCTTAAAATCATTTTTAATAATCAACACATTTTCAACAATCAAAACATTTAGCAACCTTTTTATAACATTTACATCAAAACCACTTCAGTGATATAAGATTAACTTTCATCATTTGAAATAATTCCCAACTTTTCATAACTAACAGAATAACAACAGATGAATAACTAAATTATTTAAAGTTTTGAGAATAAGTAATCAAGATAGGAACTAAAATAGGTGGTTCCAGCTCTATTAGGAGGGTATGTACAAAGAGTAAATCTTCATGTACCACAGCAAGAGGGCAGTAGACAGCTTTTACAGATGTAGAGACAATCCTCAGAAAGTCTGCGAACAGAAGCCAGGAAACTGGGCGGGGGGACGGGGGCGAGTTGAGCAGGGTATTGTTACTTTCCACTGTAAATCTGACATTAGTAACTAATTTTTACCCGTGCACATGTATCACTTCAATTGACTGATTGATTTTAGGTTTTTGCCATAGGGTGTGTGCTCTCACTGGAGAGAAACAGAGACAGAGAGAGAGGAAGTAAGAAATCATCCCCCATGGAGAATGGCCATGCTGCAATCCCTTCTTCTCCATTCTCCTCTCAGGATTTTGGGCACACACACATATGCACCCAGTGTCATTTTCAAGCTGCTAAGTCTGGGACTTGAGCTATGGTTGACCATGTAGGAATCCAGCACCTTAACCACCACATCACCTGCTGATCTCTTTGATTTTTAAAAAATACAATAATGTGTATAATACATAATACATAATGAAGGCCCATTAGTAGTAATCCCTCTTAACATTTATCCAGTAAGACACCCTTTAAAGTAGGATAACCGTGCCCCAAGCAAATTATATTCCATTGCCTTGCATACTCAACTCAGTTGGAGGAATAAAAAGGTAAAGAAAACTGAAAGATATTAATGGTGACTATGCCATACTTGCTGGTGTAGCAAGCAAGGGTGAATCTACTCCTTACATTTGTTCCCCTGTTTAAGGTTTCCAAAATGAGGATATGTGGCATACATGGAAAGATATCAGCACAAGGTCATGGCTGCCACCAGGAGACCTTGGTGGGGTGGCTCTGCATGGGTGAATTTACCCATTCCTTAGTATTAGAATTTACCCTTTCCACAAGTAGAAAATAAATTTTATTAGTATTTCCATAGATAATTGGTTTCTCAGTGATGAAATGATGCAACCAAATCATGGGAAATGATTAAGAAAGAAAGGATTAAGAAAGAAATCATGTGTGGGGACCAGCAGTTAGCGTAATGGCTATGTCGTTGGACTCCCACGTAGTCGACCGCGGTTCGAGTCCCAGACCTGGTGGCTTTAACTCACACCGGGCGCGTGTGCGTGCGTGCCCAAGATCCCAGGAGGAGAATGGAGGAGAAGGGATTGTGGCGTGGCCATCCCCCCGGGGGGTGATTTCTCGCTTTCTATCTCTCTGTCTCTCTCTGTCTGTCTGGTGAGCATACGCGCCCTATAGCAAAAACCTCTCCAAAAAAAAAAAAAATAGAAATCATGTGTGAACTACCAATGGAAATATCACCCCCTTCCAGAGCCCAAAATGTTCCCATTCTCTATCCAAGACCCACTGCTTCCAGTATGGAGCTACCAAAGAAGCTAAACCATTGGTCAGAAGCTTGCATGTTGACATGGAATTAGAGGTACATAGTCAAGTATATTTGTTTCCTGCCCAATGCACACGGCACTTCCCTGGAGAAGGCAGCGCCCACATCCTCCAGAGACAGTGGTTCCATCCCCTGGACACAGTGGACACACTCTGAGCCTCCTTTCCTTTGTTCCAGTGCTGACCAAGCCCCCTAATGATAGTAAATTCTCATTAGTGTGTCAGTGACCAGTTAAGCTGGGAAGCTGCTTCCAGGCAAGAAGCTATTTCTCTGGCCTTCCCTTACAAGGAATTTCAGTAAGTTACACCCTTTTTAGAGTCAGCTCATTCCCATGTCCTCAAGGGCTCCCTCACTTTGACCCCAATTACAATCTGTTTCTTACTCTGGACTTCATGGTTATTTGACCAGCCCAGGCCCCCAAACCAGCCAGTACTTCACAGCTATTCACAGGATCCCCACAGCCCTGCAGGGCTCTGTCCACTCTAGACACTACCACCTCGTCCTCTACTGCATCAGAAGTCTCCATTTAGGCAGGCCATTCTGGCTCGACAGGGTCACGGTCCAGGCTTTCTTGCTCTGGTCTTCCTCCTCACCTGGAGCTGAAATGATTAGTTTCCTGGCCAGTTGTCTCATGACGTTTCCAATGTTCAGAGAGGTATATGGCTGTATTCATGGACTAAATCAATGACAGCTTAAATATGCTCAGACAGTCAACCCTAGACTTCAACATTATTTTTTTTAAAAAAATCAATTAGTTTTTTCAGTTTTATGAACCAAGATTCACGAACTTCTGGATTTTTACCCACTGTGCACCCCCACATCACTGTCCCATCAATGGAGCTCTCAGGGACTTCGGCAGGAGCTCTGCAATGGAAAAATCACGTGGAGATTGTGGTTAGGGTTATTGGACTTTGGGACTAGGATATATTCTCCCCTGCCAACATGTAACTTAAGACTAGGTAGACATAGGGCAGAAAACGAGCAGCCTACAGCAAGAGCTGAGAGCAGGACAGACAACAGCAATGGCAGATTCTAAACCTGGCAGGCTGGGTCAGGAGACGGAACTTCAGAGTGCCGTGAAACGTGATTAAGCCCACCTCTGATCTCTGCTATGCTACCTACTTCCAGGCCGTGATTCTGCTTCATAATCTATGCTACCACTTCCTTGATCGAGCCTCCAAGGAGTTAGCACCCCTGGGGAAATTCTTCCTGAGAAAATTTCAATATAGAGAAACCTATTCATTGAACTTTTAAAAACCAGGATGTAGAAATGTTCAGTTAATGTTCTACAATGATGACATGGTTAGCACTCGGCTGAGGGGCTAGAGAATGTAAACCCAAGAAAATCACACTACCTGAATTGTGGACAGTGTCATTTGCTAAATTAGTTGGCCAAGATAATACAAAGAAATCTAAAGCAGGTTTTTGCAAAAGCGGCTGCTGTCTGCTTTACAATAAGGCTTAGGATGCAGTTACTGAGAAGCCACTGCAGCATGGGTGTTGCTCGCCATTTCAGCTTGTCTAGACTGTGCTCTACTTACTGACTTCTAATTAATCTTATTTCATATTTAATAATGAAGGATTTGTGATTACTTACAATTTCAGACACTGGGATTTGGTACAGTTACATGGCTTTTTAGACTTTGTGTCCCATGAACTAAGAGTTACTCTATAAAGATTAAAAAAGAAAATGTATTCAGATGGTTACTCTTTAAAAAAGAGAATTAGCTAAGCATCTGGTGCTTTTTAACAAATACTGAGAATCTCAACACCAGATACTTTTGGTATTATTCTTTTTGGTATTATTCTTTTTTTTTTTTTTCTATACAGCATATGCTTAGAGACACACAGAGAGAGATATGTAGAAAGTGAGAAAGTACTCCCCAGGAGGAATGGCCATGCTACAATCCCTTTCCTCCATTCTCCTTTCAGGATTTTAGGCACACACACATTTATGACTGATGTGTGTGTATGTGTGTATGTATGTGTTTTAGAGATTTTTGCTATCGAGTGCATGCACTTGCCAGAGAGACAGAACGTGAGAAATCACCACCATCCGCCCAGAGGGGATGGCTGCCCTGCAATCCCTTGTCCATTCTCCTCTTGGAATCTTGAGCATGCACGCACACACATTGGTGTGAGTTTCAAGCCTCCGGGTCCAGTACTCAAACCCAGGTCAGCCATATGAGAGTCCAGTGCCTTAACCACTACACCACCTGCTGGCCCCATGACTGATGTGTTTTTTAAGCTGTTGGGTTTGGGACTCAGGCTGCACAGTTAGCCATGTGGGATTCAGCTGCCTCAGCTACCACAGTACCAGCTGGCTCTAATTATTGGTATTATTTACCGGTGCCTGGCCGTAAGCTGTGAATGGCATGCACAGTTTACAATATGATGTAACTAGCCACCTCAAATCCAGCCTGCATATTCCCAGGGACTTAGTGCTGGATGGGGAGCAGGTTCCTATTGCTATTCACACTTCCTGAAAAGTATCTTTGGATTTTCTTCTCTGACCTGTGGGTACCTCCCTCCATCAGACAGTTCTTTTCTGTTTTTAAAGAATGATTTATTTATTTAATTCTATTTGTTGTTGTTATTATTATTATATTTTGTAATTTGGCCAGAGAGAGAGAAAGGTAAAATGTGAAAGCAAGCTATCAGGTCCAAGACTTGAGCCGCGGTCAGTCATGTGGGAGGCCAGCACCTCAACTACCATGCCACCTGCTGGCCCCTCAAATGGTTCTTTTATTTCACCCTGAAATCTGAACACTAATGGGAAGAAGTATGAATTAAAGAACAATAGATAAAGCATTGTTTATATTGTGCTATACCAATGTTAAAGCTGTCCTCACTACAATATTTCCAAAAGTAGTAAAGTGTGTTTTGAGTACATCAAGTCATCAGTGAAGACCTCCCTCATTTTAGGAAGGGATTATTACAACTCCCTCCTAACTGTATTAGCCCAGAAGTCATCTACAGGGGCACTGGTGGAGGGAAACAAACTCCTCTAATGTGTCTCTGGATGTTGCTAACCATGAGGGGCAGCTGCAGATTAGATACTCTTGAGAAGTTCCCAAGCATTCTTGAAGGAACTCAGAATATTAATAATGTAAGAAGTTTCACTGGTTATGGTGAAAAGGAGGGACAAGCATACAAAACACCAGTTGGGCCCAGTGCACCGACATGAACATTTATCTATCTCACTGGCAATGTGCTGCTCGAGATCACATACACTGCCTTCATCTCTGCAACACACTGGCTATTCTGAACAAGGGTATGTCTCTGTCTTGGGTTGCCTACAGGAACTGGGACAGTACTTGGCACATAATTAGTGCTTGCCGACAGCCTGTGTCACCACACGGAGCATGGGAATGAAACTAGGCTATCTGCTGTCTAATCCAAATATCCCAAAGAGGGGCAAATGCTTTTGCCCCATCCTCTGTCCTCTGTGCCCCCACACACTCAGCACTCTCAGTTACCTGTCTGGACTGAGATCAGACCTCAGTCATTTTAACTCAGTCTATCCTCCTCTCTGCACCTGTGCATGATTTACTGGTCCTCCACTGTCTGCACCTCTGTTTAGTGGCCCAACCTCAGGCTGCCACCGGAGACAGCTAATGCTACCTGCCATGTGGACAAGATGCTAGTTGTTGCTTCTTCTGGAGATACCTCCGATTTTTAAGATAATGCCCCTAAACTATGTCATTGAACTTTCTATTAATTAAGGGTTCATCTAATTTGGTGTTGCCTTTCTAGATGGAGGTGGCAGGTCTAGCTCCCCCAGCCTGTCTTCATGTAGGTCAGACCTGAGCCTGTTCAGAGGAGAAGGTTCTGATACCCACTTCACTGCTTCCTCTTATACCTGCCCTGAGCTGGGGCACAGGGTGGCCTGACTGACCAGAGGAACCAAAACTTTCTTTTAGAAAGCAGAGTGAGGGCACATGGAGATATTCCAGTGGTGATCTGCCATGATTTTACAAGGAGAGGATATAGTTTGATAAGTATTTACAGTATCAGGAAGAGGCTAACAGGTGTTTACTAAGGGACCATCACACAGCCAGGACTATGTATGACAAGTGCTTCAGAGAATGCCGAAAATAAATACATCTTTAATTTACACTGCCTGTCCTGGAGGAATCTACCAAATAACTGGGGACATGAGAAATATACAAATAATTAAAGAACACAAGATAGGATATAATCAACTGTTTTATACTGATTGTAAATGCTAAAAAAAAAATTAAGAGACAGGACAGTTTAATATGGATGGAAAAAGTTAAAATGAAATACTTTGAAGGGTTAGACAGAACTTGTTATCAACTTGTTATCAAAGAGAGTAGTCAAAAAACCAGCATGAGCAAACACAGCACACAAGGAAGAACACAGTTCGCGTGAGGGGACAGTGAGGGCACAGTGGGTAGTCATGGAAACTGAGTGGGAAACAACTCCCATGACTCTCATGCTATTTGACTACTCTCTTAGTGCCAATCTAAAAATTGAGGAATTAAAAGAGTTAGAACATATCTGGACAATTCCATCTCAGAAAAGCATTATAAATCACCTAGATCACAATGAGATATACCCTCATCTTTAAGAAAAATTTTTTTCAGAGAAGTAGACTCTTGAGGTCCTTCGTTATGATGATTCTATGTCACCCAAAATAAATAGCATCAACAATGTGTAAAAATCCACATTTATTACTTGACTGATAATCAAATTATTAAAGTTATATAGAGTGACAGGGTATGACTTTTTATTAAAAAGGTTTTCATCAATATGACAAGCTAGTGGGTGCTGGCAGGTGGTGTGGTGGTTGGAGCACTGGACTCTCATATGACCGACTGCAGTTTGAGTCTCAGACCTGTCAGCTTGCTTTCTTACTTTCCCTCTCTCTTTGTCTCTTGTCTCTCTCTAGTCAAATTAAGAAATAATAATAATAAATGAAATAAATAATTATTTCAAAAATATGACAAGCAAGTTAATAAATTAGCTCACCACCCAACTCTAAAGAATGACGTTTTGATCTGTTTGCATTCAGACTGCTGGTCCTAAGTCTTGAGCTGACCTGCTTCTCTGCACCTACTAGGTTAGGTATGTTTGAACCATCCTGGTTTGATGGACGTTGTTTTTTTCACCCCCCTGAGATTTTCAGACCTAGTTTATCCTTACTATCTCGTAGAAGTCAAAAGAGGGCCAGTGATGCACATAAAGCAGTAAGGTAGTACAATAAATTAGTTGTGTTTGGGAACTCATATAGAAAGAAACAACTAGCAAACAGTTTCCTGACTCCTCCCTAACTATAAGTAATAGATTGGTAGAGATTCTAGTATGCCATGAATGTGAGATAAACATCATCAGGGTTGACCCAGTGGTCTGACGCAGAATAAATCATTATTTGCAGGAATGAATGAATGAATGAATGAATAAATGAATACAAACACAAAGCTCACATTGTTCCTGGCACATCATTTGTAATAGAAAACTTTATAAATCCCATGATTACTTCAAAATAAAGGAAAACATGTGGCTTATTGAATAAACCTAGAATAAACTGAGGAGGAGGAAGAAGAAAGAGCAGGAGAAGGGGAAAGAAAAAGGAAGAGGACGGCAGAGAAGGGAAAAGGAAAGGGAGGAGGAGTAAAAAGAAACCATATATTGCAACGACAACACCTTCATTACTGCTCATCTGTGAAAACGTACATCAGCAGCACCACAGTGAAATCTCGGTGGCACTGCAATTATGAAAGCACACACTTGAAGTATTAGAAATATCATTCCCTGCAATGTTTTAGACACAACAAAGCACATAATGATGCAATGCTGTTGACCAGATGTCCCCACAAACAAGAAAGATAAAGTGAGTATCTTCAGGGTTCTAGCATCTTATACCATCCTATGTAACCAAAATGAAAGCTATCAGCAGAATCTGGAAGTTGCTTAAGTCATTTGTTTTCTCCAGAAATACACACAGCCATGATGAGATTATCAGTTACAATAATATCACCCACATCTTCACTGATAAATCACACCAAGAGAGTGAAGCCAGGAGAATGGCTCTACAGTCTTAGTCTACCAAATTAAGTAAAAGTCATCAACTGACTTGTACAGTCTTAACAACCAGCTGAAAGAGTAATGCTTAAACTGAAGCAGCTAATCATGAGAGCGACCAACATCCTTCAGCAACAATGCAGAGATGAAAGTGTTAACTGAATTCCAGTGTCTCCAGAGCTCTACCATGTAGCCCAATTAACAGCCTTTCATTCCTGCCCCAAACTCTCCACACACTTAACCAAGGTCATAACAAAGCTATGCCCAACGACGGAACTCTGCAGGAGCCTGAAAAGCACTAGAGGCCACAGTCTACCTTTCCTAAGGCACTTGACCTATCGTCTTTCAGGCTCTGGGATGTGGGATCACATTAGAAGGGGGCCAGCAGGTGGTGTAGTGGATAAGGGTGCTGGATTCCCACATGGCCAACCATGGTTCAGGTCCTGGGCCTGGTGGTTTGCTTTCTCCCTTTCTCTTTCTCTCTCTGTCTCTCTCTCTCATCAAATAAAAAAAAAATAACAATAAGAAATGGAAATAGATAAATAAATAAAAAAAAAAAAATTCTTAAAAAAAAAAAAAAAAAAAAAAAAAAGAAGGTGGGCCAAAAAACCCTTAGAGGCAAAAATAGACTGACTCCATATTTAAGTACAGGGCTCGATTAACAGAGATGCCTAGACCACCATTAGTACACGAACAATAATTGACCAAAGTCTCAATCAGTATGGTTAGTTTAGTTACAATTATAAACACAACTTTAAAAAGGCAGGATGGGGCCGGCAGGTGGTGTGTTGGTTAAAGGTGCTGGACTTCCACATGGCCAACCGCGGTTCAAGTCCTGGACCTGCACCTTGGTTTCTTGCTTTCCCCCTCTCTCTCTGTTTCTCTCTCTCTCTGTGTGTCTTTCTCTCATCAAATTAAAATAAATAAATAAAGTTAAACAAAATAATTCTTTAAAAAAAAAAAAAGGCAGGACAAAGTGCTAGATAAGTGCAGCCCACGTCCATCTGGAGATCTTGAGTGCAGGCTCACACACTAGTCCTGCCACAGAGCACAAGCCAACTCAGCATGGAAGACAGCAGTCAGAGGCAACGGCTGAGGCACTCTGCAGACCGTTCTTGATGTGGAGTAGCTGCCACGTCATTACTTACACTGATGACAGCAAAAAAAGAAATAGAATGACACTGAATCCTTGTGAAACCAAGACAGAACTCTGAATGGCAACAGGCCTTTGAGACTCTGACCTAGGACAGCAGACGGGCCAGTGGAAACAAATGGAGGTGATGAATCAGTCTTTGCGGCAAGAACAGAACTAGTCGCATACAGCAGCACTCTCAGTGGATTGCTTAAGGTTAAAAAATTATAATTTTTTTCAGAAGTCATAAAGATTTGCAGCTACAGCTAATTTTATAGCCTGGAAGAAAATCACAAATGTACCCCAAAGCCTATTACACTTTCACATTAAAGTAGGTGACAATTTATTGCTTTTAATTCTTACCCAGCCAAAGTTATTTTTGGTGGTCCTGAAAGAGTCGATCCTGAAGGGAAAGCAGATCCGTTGACTACTGATGATGGTAAGGCTCCATTATCAAGCTGTACAAGGCCAAAGGCAAAAACATTTTGAATTAGCATGTGTTTTACAAGTTCCATCCAGCCAACCCCTACATACAGATAAAAATGATTCTTCTGAAAGTTTGCATCCCGATCCCTTTACAACCATGTCCAGGCCCTGTTACCGCAGTGAGCATGCTCAAGAGTTGAGGCTCTCGCAGACCTGGCTGACCACAGGATGCTGTGGGGTGAGGAAGCCCCCGACTGAGTGCACAAACAGGGCAGTGGGTGAGGGGTCTGGACCCACCCTTGATAAGCCAGCAGCACGTAGCTCTCAGTCACTGGCCAGGGAGATTGTAACACAACTCATTCTCGCTTTTATGAACTATCAATTGTGAAATAGATTCAATGACAAATTTCCATAAACTAAAAATGTTCTATTACTGTATTCTTATTATCACATTAGTTATCTCACCACTTGAAGCCTCAATGGCAACCACTATTTTTCATCTACACAAAAAATATTTTATAGTCAGTTTTAACAAATTTTTTAAAAAGTCATAAACTCTGCATAATCCATGAACTTCGCTTTCTTGGTTCTCACTTTTTTCGTTTTTTATATTATTCATTAGCACAGCTCGAAAGGCAGTTCACAGGGAGATGAATGGGTAGTGAAATCATTACTGACTTTATTTTCTTACTAGAAGCTTGAGAAATTAGCAGTATTGGGTAGAATTAGGTTTTGAGATTATTTGTAATATATCACAGCTAAACATTCTATCCTTGTTCCCTTTGCCTTCCAAAATAAAATTTAAAAATAAGCTTTATTTAAGAAGTATAGGCATGGAAAAGCACACATTTTATCCTCTTTTTCTCTTCTGCCTTCTTTTAAAATTGTGTCTAATCACTGTCCTCATTTATAAATCAGGTCTTGAGTCCCACAGGGCTTCGTCCCCTCGGATCCCTCCAGTCTGGCTGTGAGCAGTGGGCATCTTCTCCCCTCATTCTGTTTACAGGACGGAAGTGTTCACAAGTCTAGACTGTGTCTCATTTACAGTCACCCAGGCACCTAATTGTTGGTCCCAAGTCTCCAAACGGCAATCTGAAGTGTTCCACATTCTTCTGGGAAAGGATTTCACAGTTCTCAGGGTTGAGGCTATTCTTTGCATAAACTAGGTAAAAATGATTTCCCCCTTTGCTTATTTAGACTCAAAGTAAAGCAAAGAAAGAGATGGCCTTTAGGTATTATGTAGGCCGTAAAGTCAGGGCAATGTAATGCTAGAACCTATGAATTTCTTCAGCAGTATCTGGTCACCTAGGAGTGAAAAGGGTAAACTCTAAAGACAGGCTTTTCAGACTTAACACTGTGTGCACAAAGGAAAACTTGTTAAAAATGCAGATTCTTGGGACCAGCAGTTAGCATAATGGCTATGTCACTGGACTCCCACGTAGTCGACCACAGTTCAAGTCCTGGACCCAGTGGCTTAAATTCACGCTGGGCACGTGTGCGTGTGTGCCCAAGATCCCGAGAGGAGAATGGAGGAGAAGGGACTGCGGTGTGGCCATCCCCCCTGGGGGTTGATTTCTCGCTTTCTGTCTCTCTGCCTCTCTCTGTCTGGCGAGCGCATGCGCCCTATAGCAAAAAGCCTCTCAAAAAAAAAAAAAATGCAGATTCTTGGAGTCAGCAGTGGCATAGTGGTTAAGACACTAGACTGCCATATGGCAGACCGTGGTTTAAGTCCCAGACACAGTCGCTTGAAAATCACTCTGGGCATGTATGTGTGCATGCCAAAATGCCAAGAGAAGAATGGAGGAGAGAGGATTGAGATGTGGCCATCCCCCTGTGGGGGTGATTTCTCACTTTCTGTCTCTCTGTGTGTCTCTCTCTGGCGAGTGCATGCACCCTATAGCAAAAACCTAAAAAAAAAAGGCAGATTCGAAATCACTGGGTCTAATCTCAGGTCTAGGGTGGGGCCTGAGATTCTCATTTCTGTAAGTTCCTAGGTAAGGTCAACACTTCCAGCCCATGTACCATGCTTTGAGTGACGAAGCTCTGAAGAGCATACAAAACTGGGGATCTGGCGAAGAAGCATGGGATCCTAGAGATGTACCAACTATTGCTTAAGAATCATCCTGGAGGCCAGCAGGTGGCATGGTGGTTAAAGTACTGGACGTATCTATATGGCTGATCATGGTTCAAGTCTTAGACCTGGTGGCTTGCTTTCTCACTTTCCCTATCTCTCTCTCTCTTGCTCTCTGTCTCTCTCTGGTCAAATTAAAATAAATGAATGAGGGGCTGGCAGGTGGCATGATGGTTAAAAATGCTGGACTTCCATATGGCTGACCGTGGTTCGAGTCTTGGACCTGGCAGCTTGAAACTCAAGCTGGGCAGGTGTGTTTGCATGCCCAAAATCCCAAGAGGAGAATGGATT